GATCAGGAACGAGAATGAGTGCATTGTGGTCTTTTGACACAAAATATTATTATTCGCTTGTTCGAACTGGCATAAATGGAATTTAGCAAAATATTCGATTTCAGTGTTCACCATAAAATAAAACGTGCATTTCTACTACGTAGTTAATGGATAAGACTTAACATATGGAGATATCATCGAAGACATGCTTTTGATAGAATAGGAAAATTAAGATGATTGACATCAAGTCTGTCGAGGAGTATAGCAACGATTAGATATACTCTCTCATCTGAAAGCCAAGATGACTTATAACAGATTTTGTTTTCTGGCACATCTTGTGGAAGATAAACTTCTTTTATATTTGCAACTACTGGTGTAGGAATCGCGGCTTCAGAACTGGGAGCAAAAGTACCATGGCTGCTTTTCCGTTTAGATTTCAATGTGACCAAACAATTTGTCAATCGAAGACGATGTTATTGAGCTTCGCATTACTACTACTTTTCTGGTTTTAAACAAACAACTGGCATAAGAGAGTTACCCAACATCGCAACCAGACTATCTGTGATATTTTACAAAAGTATTTTTAGACTTGTCTTTCGTTTTCAGCAAAATCAATGATTCGAAAAAAATTCTTTGATTTCAAACGAAAAATAGATTCTACTTTGCATAGTTTAGACAATGTACTATATATTTTTTTTTAGTTGCAATTTCTTTTTGAGTCAATGAATACCATTATCAAATACTGTTCTATTATTAAATATCATATCATCAATGCTTAAATACGTGATACACAAATGAAACGTTGTTTATTGCTGTTTTGTTCCAGTCAATCAAAATTCATTCAAAACAATATATTATGTGAACATAACACCATCGCGGATAACTTTCTAACTTTTTACAATACATATAAATTCAACATTTGATTCGTTTTTGTCTCTATATGTGATATTACTAATTAATATCAATTATCTTTTAAATAAAAAATATTATTCATATCTAACAGAAACAGTTTTAATAAATTTTTATATTAAAGATGAAAAAAAAAAAATCATCACATTTTTTTCTGTTTATATCTTATATTCTTACATTTCTTCTGGCCAAAAAAAAAGAAAAAGAAGAATAAACAGTTCGATATGAGAAGATAATAGTTGATTTACGTCAATTTTTTTTATCAGTTAATGCTAAGAAATAATTGAGTAATCGAATATCAAAACCCATTCCTTGGAAGAATTTAATATCTCATAAAAATAATGACATTAAAAATGTTTTGCCATAATATTTCCAAATTAAAAATTAAAAAAGAAATTCAACAAGTATCTGATATAGTTGCGCTTTATGACTCGTTTATGCAGGTAAAAAGAGCAAGGGGGGGGGGGGGACACTAAAGAAAAAAAACAGTTGAACAAAATTATTGTCTTTGAAAATTGCATCTAAGTAAAGAGCGCCTTTTGGAGATTGTTTACGGCAGTAAATTCAGTATACGATAAGGGAAACATATACATTTAAAAGACTTTTTTTTTATATTTGTGATAGTCAACGGTTTATCGTTGAATAAGAAAAAAAAGATTTTAATAATAAACTAGCAAAAAGAAAATGTTGTTTCGTAAAACATAACACTATTTTGTTTCATATTTGTTCGAAAACAAAAATATCACTAATCAAAATAGATTATAATAAAGACTTTTTTCATCACCTCTTGTCAACATACGAATGCAACGATATCTATATTATCTGTATTGCTTTTTTTCACCCAAGGTAAGCAACAATATATGATACGTATTTTAAAAGTCTTAAAGAACATCACAAACGGATATTAGTATAAGAGTCAGNTATATATTTTTCTTTGTAGTAATCCAAATTGCTGAATTTATGCTGATATATTCAAATCACCTGTCTGGTCTTGTCCCTACTTTGAATAAGAGCTTGTTGTATGTATGATATTTCGATTAGAGATCAGATATCGTATGATTTATTTTAAGCTAGGGGTTCTACTGAGCTTTTTTTTCTTAGAGAACCCTATAGTAAACAACATTATCGACGAACGTTCTAGGATGTATACAAATTCCTTGTAGAATTTTGAAAAGGTATTCTGCGTTTTCGTATAATTTTCGTGAATTTCTATTGCTATACGGTCTCTGAAAAAGTTGAATATATCAGCATAAATTCAGCAATTTGGATTACTACAAAGAAAAATATATACCAAAAGAAATACTATTTGATCGGATTCATGTCCAATACCGATGCAGCAAATATAAACTCTTTCAGTAATGTTTCCGTTCTGACGAACTATTCAGTCATTGTGCCCAAACATAAAACCCATTTCTCATCCTTGACCTGACATAGTTTTTTCGACTTTTTATATTTGATATTCCTTATTCAGACCGATTTTACTTCGGCTATTGATTTTTATTCAATGAATCGCAACACTTCGAAGCGGGACTTCTGAAGTTAGCCCAGTGCAGCAGCTAGTCACTCGTGGACGCCCCACTGGGGCGCCACTCGCGGCTAGCTGCTGCAACCTCTGATCTTCTTCTCCCCTAAGATAGCTCTTTTTCACTTAAACCCTATCGAATGCTAGATTGCTCTTACTTAGAATACTAGATTTATAATAGCATCGCTGCACATGAGATGCTCTCAAAAACACTTGTCTATGATGTATTCCTAATTCCTTTAACACAATAGTTTAGTCAATACGGTGGAATTCTATTAGGGTTTCTGATTTTGAGAATCTTAGTTGGTTATTCTTGGTAAATGCAGGTTTCACGTTGATCTTTTGCTAAAAAAAGCTTGCTAGCGCAGCCCCTTTGGGGCTGAAATGTGGAACTCACATATATTCTTTGGTTTCATAATGCTAATCTCAAAATACGCAATATTTCAAAACTGCAAAAGATAATAGTTTTTTTCTAAAGATAATCGATTATCAGAAAATGCTGTCTTTTTTATCTCTATATTTCGAACAAAAATTTTTTCTTTTTTTTGACTACGTTGCTATGGTCTGTAATGGGGGCCTGTCTGTAAGGGGAGAGGGTGGGGTGGGGAGGGGTCGCAAAACCTCGAACTTAAAACTTACACTCACTATTTTCTTCGAAAATATATGTGAGTTCCACAAAACATTAGAATACAGTAGCCATTTTGGCGATCAGTAGTTCGCCAGCACTTCTCTCAGATCTTCCTCAAAGTTCCTTGTTGCATTATTGAAATACATTTGAATAATCATTGGTTATTGTGCATTTATCCTAAAGGCTGTAACCTCATTTACAAGATTCTTTTAATGCTACATTTCTCGACTTAAACAGCGCGCACCCAAAAAAAGCCAATTAACTCAAAAACAACTATGAATAAACAGAACTTCTTCAATGTCGCACACATTAGACTGAATCTCAGTGGTGTGTTAACGGAATTTCATCACAGGGCGACTTACTGGAACATTCACCCCATTCGGTCACACTTCGATTCATGTCCATAAGGATACTGTGAAAAGACAACCGAAACTAAACAGGAAACGCAGGCTTCAAATACTCAGAACGACTTTCCGGATTTCCAATTTCCCTTTTCTTCAAATACCTTTTACTCCAAAAACTTGGCTTTTTCCTAAGACAATAGGTCAGAGAGAAAGGTATAATTTTTCATGCAAATAAATATTTGACTTTTTGAACAGCTGACTTCATATCTGGATTGCCCAAATCGAATTTACATTCGTCAACCTTTATGAAGTTTCATTATTTCCTCAAAAAACCCTTCCCTGCACCCGAAAAACTCAATTCAAAGTTTTGAAAATTTGACTTCAGATTTGGATTCCCCAACCTCGATTTGCTTTTGTGAATGTCTATGAAAAATTGACCGTGGACGTTTTTTTTGACACTAGTGTTCTTTTGACCTTGCGGCAAGCAAACAAACAATAGGACAAACTCTTTTTTTTCATATGACCCTCCCTTCACTCGAGGGAATAATTTGTGACTTTGTCTCGTATTTTGAGATGAAACAAAACTGAATGCAAAATAGTCGTGTCAGAATTACTATAGAAGTTCATATCGGATGTTTCTTGAGAGATTTCAGTATCTTGTAATATGTCATTTTAAAAATATAAGAAAGTCTTTCTTTTCATTCTGATGGTAGAATTTCATCAAAGACTTTCGAGAATGTAATTATGTGTACAATATTCATAAGATTAAATCTGATTCGTTTACTTTTATGATTTCTGTACTTAACTCAACAAAAAAAGAACTTATTGGTCTTAGGAATAATAATATCATCTTTTAAGAGAAATATATAAAATGAAATTTTATTACTTCATTAAGAAATTTAACGCTTCCAATGACCTATGACTAAAATATTTCAACAAAAATAAAGTAATAAAATCTTTGAGATCTTGGATCATAAATTGGGAGAGATAAGATGAACAACTTTAGATCTGATAGATTTTATATCTGATGATATTCAGTGTCTTTTTTATAAGTCTTATATAGAGTAGGAACCGGTGTTTGGGATTCTTGTAAAGAAAAAAACGAATAGAAAATTGAAAGAATTCTAATTTTCTAACATATTTGAAGATTAGAAGAATGAAATCACATATGAAGGCCATATTTTAATTGTATTGCATAATATTATACATTAATATTTTCTATTTGTTTACAAAAGAATTTCAATACAACTTTTCCAGTTACTTCTGTCATATTTCGCTGGTTTTATTGAGAAAATAAATAATCTAAGAGCTTCTTACTCGGTTAAAATCCTATAGAATTCTCAGACTTTGTAGCATTTGTAGTGGAAAACCTATGATGAAACTTTTAACTCGTGATCATCATGTTCGCATGCGATTGTTTATCAAAGAAAATCTCAAGTTACCCAATAAACTGGTTGTCATTTATTTGATGAAATACTCATGCAATTTGAAATATTCGTGATACAAAATCACATTTAAATCAACTTGAAATTTTTAAGAATATAACATAATCATTTTCACTATTTCAGATTCTATATAATTCACATACAGTAAATCAATTCTTTCACTATTTTAACTATTAATTTTTATCAATAAAATATTCTAAAAAATATCTAAACTTACCAAGTTCATTAACATCAATAAATGCTTTATGAATAACCTAGAATTTTATATTAAAGATATTTAGATTTTCTGATGTATAACTTTTCTACCTTGCTAATGCATAAACCACTTGGATCATCTTGTTTACTGACCATTTCAGTAAAATCTGCTTTGCTTGTATCAAATGCATCTGTCATTCCAAGTTTTATAAGAATATCATTTAATTCAAATTTCGCTTCCATTTTAAATTTTGGTAAGTATAAAAGAAGTTCTTTTCTTGTCGTAATTTCAGCACTTAATATTTGTCTCATTAAATTTGGGTCTGATGCTAATTTTTTTTCAACTTCATCTAATGAAGTACCTCGGTTTGGTAAAATTACAGTAAAAACAAATTGAACACCATGCTTATCACTTTTATATGGTAAATGAGCAATTTGTACATGTAAATCGTCATTTTGAGCATAACCAAATGTTTTGTTTTGATGCATTAGTTTTACTTTTGACATTTCACCATTAGCTGCATGAAAGTCAGCATTTTGATCTGTTAAATGTTCTTTGAATGGTTTTACCCATGTACCCTATTATTTATACAATAAAAAAAAAATTCTATCAATTTCATGAAAACTAATATTCACCTTAAAATAGATACAATTCACAATAATCAATCGTGTATCAGGTGTTACATCATTTGGCGAGAGTAAATTTTTAATTAATGCATTTGTTTGTTCTTCAACCCATTCATTGATTGTGTTAACAACACCTGCACTATTATTTTCAAAATCCTCCAGTTTTATATCAGCTTTAAAAGAATTTTGAACACAAGTTAAATAACTTTCTCGAAGTTTATATGCTTTTTGTCCATAAAGACGATTAGCTAATTTAAGTTTAACTTGTGTATCATTATCAACAATAGAAAAAATACGCATAATTTGTTTAGCTGTTTCTTCTAATTGGTCTGTTGATGATGCATCAAAAACATGTAACATTTGCTTTAACGTTTCATTTTGAGCACCAGCTGCACACATAGCCATAGCAAGGGCAATACTTGCTGGAGAAAGAAATACATTTTGATTTTTATTATTTTGACTAACATTTAAATAAACTTTGTGACCAAAATTTTCGAAATCTGTATTTGTTGATGATAATGTTGAAGCCATGTCTTTCTTGTATGTGAGAAAAAAGAAAGAATGAAGAAAAAGACTGTTGTTCGTAATTTTATACCCTATTTTTCAAGGCTATGTTTACTTTAATCGTTTCTGTTGGACTCAGCATAGAAATATCAGAACAAAAAATATATCTCGTCTATGTATAATCGTATTAGGCAACACTAAAGAATAAGAAAAAAAAAGCAATCATAACATAAAAAACTGTTTCATGTAGGTCAGCAAATAAGATAAATAGAAAAAAACTGTCGGTTATTCGATAAATTTTTTTCTTCATTGATAAAAGTATTGGTTAGATCATTGCAAATTGTGGCATATGATTCACATTCCTATCGAGAAATAAATTTCTTTCATATGGTGAAGTAGTTTTCATTTTTATTTTTTTTTCAATTCTGATTGATTTCTAGATAGGTAAATATGATCATATTGAGTTTCTTGCACAAATTATTATGTAAGAGCAGAGCTGGGCAAAGTACTCGAAGTACTCGTACTCGAGTACGATTTTGTTAGTACTCGTACTGGTACTCGTACTCGAGGAGTCTGTACTGGTGCTCGTACTCGGGGGTTAGTACTCGTGGTTCTTTTTTCAGGATTCTACAGGCACTATATTTTATGAAGTAACTTCAGTTTTTTGTGTCATTCAGAACAAAAGTGAATGATTAATGAATTTGTTCATCGATCCGTATATTCATTTTATAATTTAAGACATTGGCTTGATAGTTATCATCTTCTTCTCTGATCGTCCTCCTTATTTAATCACTTATTCTTCTTCTATCAGAAATGTTATATTTATATATGATTGGCATTTACGTAATCCATTAGTGTTCTTCCCATAATAAATAATAAATAAAATCTATTGTGTTGCACAGCTTTGTGATTGTTGTTGTTTCTATTATAATTTTATTAAATTATATGTTTATTTATTGTTTTTATTCACTTATTGAATAATTTATTATTTGTTGTTATTTCTATTATAATTTTATACAAAGGCGACAAATTAAATCCTCAGTATTTTTGTGTAAATGTTCAGTAAATTTTGTTCAGTATTATATACGAATTTTCAGTAAAGAAATCAAACTTTCAGTATAAAATTAAATATTCAGTAGTTATTACATTTGTTTAGTTAACTGATTGTTTGTTCAGTAAATTATTCAATTCTTCAGTATTTAAATTAAAGTTTCAGTAATCAATTGAGTTTACTGATTAGAAATTTCGTTAAGTCAGTAAGAAGTAGTATTTTTACCATAATCATTATTTTTTTCGATGGAATGTATTGATCTAAATAGAAGAACGGTAACCTACATTTACTGATGATAACGTCAGAAGTCAGCTTACAGCGTTACATAGTAACCCTCGATCATGGTATACCTAAGTTCTCCTACTTATTAGTGTCATATTTTGTTTTGACATTCTTTGTATACTCTGTTGTAGTATTTCGAAACTTTACAGTTAAACATGAAGATAAATACAATCTATTCTCTCCTTATTCTTAATATAATAAAGAAAAGAAGATTCTTCATATCATCTCCTCGTTTGCCATTCCATCTATCCCTACCTTCCACTTCATGAGCGTTTACCTTTATCAAAATTTTAAGTATTAGCATTTGATATTGTCAAAAAATGATCAAAGTATTGCTAATGAGGTTTAGAACAATCCAGTAAAAAGCAAACAATATGATTAGAATTATGCACCAGTGGATATCAGTGACTCAAATCAAACAAATCAATCCTCTCTACTGAATGTGATAATTTAGGTCAATATGATATACCTGCTAGAGATAAAACCAAGATTACACACCTTGATGGTGATATTGTGAAGAAAATGGAACGGTATTCTTTTGATTCATATAAAAATAAAGGATTCAATTTTTGGACTGTTACATTACCAATAGATAAATTAAAATGGTTAGATAGTATGTGCAAGTGTCCAGGATTTTTCGAAAAGTTTATGAGTAAACATGTTATTGGTATGACAATTCGATTAAATTATTGTAAACCACCACCTGCTGTTACTCAAGTTTCAATTGGCAAAGAAAGACGTCGTGTAGACCGATAAAATAAAACAAAGCGTTATTGATTCAATGAATTTCTGTTAATTGTAACTGAACCCCTCCCGCTTCGAATCGCTTCTCCAAATGTGGTACCCTGCCGTGTGTAAACGTTTTACTAAAATTTACCCTCAAGTCTCAGAGTTTTTTGAAAAATTTTTCTCATATTCAAGCATACATTGTTAGTAAAAAATGTACCCCCAAATCACATCTTTTTCTAAAAAAAACATCTTTTTTTAATAAAAAAGTGTCATTTTAGCAGCAAAAAGACATGATCCTATATTAGCACTCAGAAATTTTTTTAAGGTGTGGCCTTTAGTTTCAGGGGATCTACAATTTTCTTTACTGAAATAAACTATTAAAAAACTGAACGAAAACGAATTAAATACTGAATCGTTTTTAATTAATTACTGGATTGTAGAATCTTTTACTGAAGAAAAAATACTTTTTTACTGAACAAGAAATACTGAACATCTGATGAAAAAGTTACTGAACATTCGTAATAAAATACTGAACAATTAAATACAAGCCTTATACAAATATATATTTGTCTGCTGTTGTTTCTGTTATAATTTCGCAGAATTTTACATTTGTTGCTATTGCTATTGTAGTGCCATTTGATATTATACATTGTCATTCTTTATCATTTGGTATTATTTTTCGTTTCTTATGGCTACTAATTCATCTTCACATAAGAAAATGACAGATTCTGATAGTATTGTTTTAAAGGATGATGGTCAATGTCCATTAATAATTAAAGAATTTTTCTCAGATTTACAGATTAATATGGAAAAGAATCGGTGGTCTTCGAAATGTAGATTTTGTTTTGAATTAAGCTTTGTTTTTTATTACACCCCCGGGGCAGAAGTCTTCCCCCCCCCTATCTCTCTTTTCAGCAAGGTTTTCTCTGCTATTATAGGGACAAAACATGGTGTTGTTCGGGCCGATTAGGGGTTATTAGAGTTCTTCTTTTATATGGTCCGAACAACACCATGTTTTTCCCTTACAACACCGAAGAAAACCTTGTTGTAGAAAGAGGTGGAAGAAAGATTTTTGCCTAGGAGTGTATATATACAGGCACTTATGTGACTGAACACCTGTTTTGGGCGCTTTTTTGAGTCATTGAACTTGTGATCCCCTTTTTCTGCTGATAAAGTAAGAATTTAAAAAAAGACCTCTGTGGTACCCGGTATCCTGAGGTGCTCTTTCAAACAAAATAAATTAAATATATTGACAGAGCCTGGACCCCAAAATCTTGGACAGAAAATGAGCTATTTTTGAGTCTTGTTTGGTTCATGTTTCTATTGAACGTCAGTAAATCGTGCTGAAAATTTTATCACAGCCTCCTCACTTCAGTCCCAACGTATGCTCCAAATTTCAGTCCATTTGAACGTTCCTGGGCTGAGCTCGATTTTTGAGGGGGGGGGGGGGGCTTAAAGGCAAGCGAAACATTGTTTTCTACCATGATCCGATAGAATTCGACAAGCTCTTAAGAATATAAATCTCAAAAAAAGTTCTGATCCTCTTTCCAATACATCCTATCATTTAAATGACAGCTCTCATCATTCTCTAGAAAACTATATTTATGTATTTCATATAAATGCTGCAAGGTTTAACAATAATAATAAGCAAATGTAACACACAAGTGAAATTCTAGAAAAGAACAAAAAGCTTGAGTCTTGTCAAAATTAACGATCCAGATGTTGTTTATTTGCTGTCATTCGACACTTTTCAGCAACTGTTCAAGAGTTGTTTGAATTGTACAACGTTCACTATCCGCGCAGGCTTCGATTAAATGTATATAATAATCAAAAAATTCTTTTGCTCTTTCATCATTTTCTATTTCATGTCCCAATGAAAAGTCCAATTGACCATCACCAGCACAAGTAACATACATAATTGATGATGTACGATAGAGACTAGTACTACTTACGATATGCAGACCATGCAATCGTACTTGACCATGATTGTAATCGCATGAAAATGGATATTTACCAATATTTGAAAAACCTATTTCGGAGAGGCGTCCTTCGGGATAGAGTCGACTGATCCGTTCGAATTGACGTTCGTGCCTCATGATATCACAAAAGACATTGATCATTAATGGAACACCATTTCTTTGCAGCCGTTTCCGAGTCATTCTCATACATTTTTGTGCAAGTAACCAAAATTGAGTAGATTGAAGTGAGAGTGATCGTTTCAGCTTCATTCCAGCTGTACCTACAAAGAAACCGACTGATGAAGATGTCAGAGGTGATCGAGGAAGACGCAAACGCATATCGAAATAGAGATCGATATTGAATGGTTCCAATCGGTTGTTATTGTCGAGTGGAAAACAATGATGAACGGCCAACAGAAGACAACTGAACAACGGGCAATTTAATGTTACTTGTTGTGATTGACATATTTTGTGTAAGTTTGAATAAACATTAGAAGAACTTGAAGAAAATAAAAATTTGGTTTTGTAGAATTGAGTATTAGACCTGATTGGTTCACAATCGACATGAGGAATCGACTTGACAGGAATACGAGGCTGTGCTAATTTAGGTAATTCTTGCCTCATATGACGCTTCAGGATGAATGATTTCAGAGGATATAGAGGACCGTACGGACGAGGTGTCAGTTGAGCTAAGAATGGAAGTACTTCTGCATTGACCGGTTCCGAAATATCAAGTAAATTCGGTGAAGTAGCCAAAGTAAAAAAATCATTGATAAGAACAAATCCACTTCGACTATCGAATGCACAATGATTTGTAAAAAGAAGTAGATGAAAACGATTCTCATTGGACGAATCTCGATCGAATACCAACATAAAATGAAAGAGTGGAAAGATAATCGTACCATTATTCGAATATGGATTTTGATTGCAGCGATTCTCGACGATTTGTTGCCAAGATTCATTTGTTGTTTCAACAACAGAAAAGAATAAATCAGTCGATAGCAGCTCACTGTCGTAGTTCAATATTTCAAGTAGATATCGTTTGCCGTCGACACGAACACGTGTACGCATGCGAGAATGTCGTTTGAGTAGACTTTGAAGAACATGAGGAGCATTAGTGGCAAATATCGAACGATCACCAGTCAAATGAGCAGCAAATCCAATAATAACCCAATTGCCATCTACACAAAATATCTTTTCGTTACCATTGAGCTCTAATGTGGATGTCACCTTGAGAGACATTTTTATGTCGTATGTAAGATCCACAACGCTGATATGTTTGGGCATACGACGACCATCATATCTTTGTTTTTCTTTCCTTTTCTATCATACACGTCGGAGAAAAAAAATAATGGGGTGTTGATATTACGACAAAAAAAACAGATACTCTGTAAAGGTTATAGATAATGTCGACATAAGACACGAGTTGCCATTTCATTGAGTCGAAAAAGCAGAAAATTGGTCTCAAACAGTGGAAAGCTGTTTTGAACTATCGCACGGAGATTATTTCAATATATTATTAAAGACAAAAAATGAAATCGACGAATTCATCCCACGAAACTATAATACTATAGAACACTGCTTTCTATCTGTCGAAGTCGCTGTGAAAATGAATCGATCAATCTGAATAAAATAAAAAGATACTATTTCCTAAAATCATCTTAAAATTCATAAATGTTATTATGGATAAGACATTATACTTTCTTCTATAAAGTGTCGAAGTTTTTAAATATGTGATACAGAGTACATGATGAATAAGTCTAGACTAAATGAAAGAACAGAGATGTCAACATTTCAACAAAATTTATTACTTCGCACCCAATATTGATTTCGTTCTCCAAAATCTCTGTGATTGTGGACAACTTCAATGAACTTTATTAGTTATATCAACAAAATTACACACAAATGGAGAACAAAATTAATATGCTATTAGCGAATAGCATATGAGCAAGAGACATTATGATTTCAATATCGAGTTCGTCGATTGGTTATTCACATTTGCAGTATTTGGTTTATGTTTTTTATCAGTTATCAAGTGTTCATAGCTATTCCCTAATGTGCTCGAACATGCCACGTTTGATCCATGTTGGTGTTTCCAGTAGTTGTCCCCTTCCGATGACAAACAAAGGTGTTAAGTCTGTTTGATTCAAAACAAGAATATCAGCATCAGAGGCTTCCGCCAAAAAGTCGTTCCCTTCCAAATTGAGATATGTTGCTAGATTCGATGTGGAAAATTACATCGCTTCTCCTATTGGCCACGAATATTTTAATACTGAATTTTGTATTGTTTTCAGGGTTGAATCTGGAAGACCCATGCCGTAGGATACTAAGCGGCCAGAGGAATCGTATTCAGGAAATGATCTAAACGAATAAGCTGATTTTATTTTCAAAGTTCAGTTTGACTAGGAAATCTGTCACAATCTATCTATCTATATATATAAAGAAGTATGTCTGTCTGTTCGCTATGCGTTTCCATACCGTACAAGCAAATGCAACCAAACTTTCCAAGAATGTTCCTCTCATCCAGGGAAAGGTCGACGTCTACTTTTTTTCAAAAACAGCTGATCCTTCGACCAGAAAAGCCTGCCTAAGTTGCTAACCAATCAGATTGCAGCATTCGGTACTACAGAATTACTACTGAGCTTCACTTCCTGAATACACAGAAAGCATAAAACTAGAGGTTTTCCAGAGCGGTGAGTTCGAATCTGGGATCTATTTGCCTCCAAATCTGATTGGTTGTTTGAAAACCAATAGGAATTCAGCTCTTAGGTAAACAGACCCAAATGTTCATACTTTGAAGGAAGTGATGGAGCAGGAGGGTTTTCCGAGATGGTGAGATCGAATCTAAGATCAATTCGCCTCAAAATTCGATTGATTGTTTGGAAATCAATAGGAACTCAGTTCTTAAGAAAACATGTGAAAGCATTTATACTTTTGGAATATAATGGAGCAGGAAGTTTTTCGAAGTGGTGAGTTTGAATGTCTGGTCTATTTGCCTTGAAATCGAATGAGTTGTTTGGAAACCAATAGGAATTCAGCTGCTAAGAAACCTAACTAATCAACCTTTGGTCGTTAGGAGAAAAGTCAGATAGGGGCTCTAGAAGCAATGAGTACGATTCAGGGAGCTAAGCGCTGAATGTGGGTGTTAGGGTACGGAAGCGAGTATCTTCTTTTGATTATATAAATAACGATGTTCGTCTTTCTGCTGTTTGTGCATTTGATTTCGGTAATAACTAGCGCGCTATCAGACTTTCCATGATATACTCTTTAGTTGAGAGAAAAATTGAAAGTAGATTGGCGCGGCAGACAAGGACAGGAAGAAAATGGGATGTAATGCCACCCAGGTTATGAAAATTGGAGGGTGTGGGTGTGGGTGTGGATGTGGGTGTGAAATCAAATCAAAACAGATCAATCTATATTCCTGTAATATAAATTAATCTGCTAGTCCCAACTCTTGCTTTTCAGCAACCGATTATCTGCCAACTATTATTNTATCAATCAAACCGTCCTACTCCAGAACCAGGACATTCGATGGATTAGGCCACACCATTGGCATATTCGACAAGCTAATACTCTTTTTATAAAGTTATTTTCTCAGTGGCTCTTCTGGAGCCGCTATGGGGGGTAAAGGGTTAAATAAAAATTGAATTAGTATAATCTAGAAATCAATATACAAATGAACATTATCAAATCGAAATACCTATTTATGAATAATATTTCAAAAAAGTAAATCGAAAATTAGATTCATAGACACAAACTCTCTAAAATTTTATTTTTTTAAGTTTTAGGAAAAATCTTCTTATTGATTGAACATGAGTTCAAAAGACGAGTAACTAAATTATTTATTTGCTCATCAATTCCAATCTTTCAATTTTTAAATATGTTTAATTAAGATAAAGTAAAATTTTTATCGAAAAACATACGATCTATTCGAAATTTCATTATTGATATTTAAAGATCTAATATCAGTATTAAGTTGTTGTCTTTTAATTGAAATAAAAATAGCAATAACAGTACCAATTATAAAACCAATTAAAAAACATGATATTCCAATAATAAATGATAGAATTACCTGTGGGGATCGTTTAGATTTATTATCAATACTACGTTTTAATCTTTTGTATAAATAATAAGATGATTTTTTTATAGGATGACATTCATACAATTGATTATGATATCTATTTATTAATGAACATGAAGCTATTAAATATTCGAATTGTTTATAACATTTATCTATATAAATACCACTTGTATTTGGTTCAATATGAAGTTGATTATGTGTATTATCTGTCCAAGACATGTGATATGTATGTTGATGATTTATTGGATGATTAATAAATGAAGAGAATAGTTGAATTTCAAATAAATGACTCAACGAAATGAAACAGATATGCCAAATCATAATAGAACTCAAATAGGGATTAAAGTCATATTTCTTTAGATATATAAAATATTTAAAAGAAATTTACGCGCTTTATATATTATATGAGACTTTGAATATTGTTTTTTTCTTATGAAATCAAATTAAACAAAAAAAAAATAATAATAAATTTATGTTAAGTTGTAGAGATAGTTGAATATATTTTTCTTTTCTTATTTAATTATCCATAATTATAACTACTTTCAATACTCGAACGATCGTTTATATGTTCAGTAGATAATAAATTTTTCAAACATCCTGTAGAAAAAATTATTACGATAATAATTCCACACATAACTAGAAGAAGTACAAAACCACCAACACCCAATAAAATATAGAGCAATGTATTATCCGATAATGATTTTTCTGTAAATATTAAAAATAAAAATCTTTCACAAACAATAACAATTAAAATCTACCTTGAAAAGCAATTTGTGGTGATGGTGAATGTCCTTGTTGAACTTAAAACAAGAACAAAAAAAATATTCATTCTGCTTCTTAAAATTAAATTAATCTTACTAATAATTTGTTGAGGAGCTGGAGGATAAATTGGTTGTGGCTCTTATGGTTGTTCTATAAAAATGTATTACGAAAATTTCAGCAAAAACAAAAAAACGAATTGAAATACATACTATTTCCAGTAAGTAAATTACCAAGTAAATCAATAGCAAGTGGTGCAACACCTCCAATAATTGCTCCTATTGCTCGATTTGAAAATGTAGAAGTTTCATTATTAATTGTATAATTTACTGACATAGCTGCCACTTATAACAAAATAAAATAAAGATAAATATTTGATTAAAAGATAAATGATTATTATAACTTACTATCACATATAAATAACATATTTTCATTACATTCTAATCGAGTTAAACATAATGTACCATTTTTTAAACTATTTCTTTTTATTAATACACATTCAAAATTAGAATTATTTTCATTTTTATCACATAAAACATTTTCTAATTGTTTTCCTATTTCGGTAAAAAAAAAGCAAAAAGAAACAGAATATTTCATAAGTCTGAACGAAGAAAAATATGATTCTCTTCTTAATAATTCAATGGATTGGCATATTTTTGTTTTTTTTTATTATTTGATTACATATTCATTTAAGTTTCTACAACAAGAATCAGTCAGAATCATATGTTCAATGAAACTTTTATTTTTTTCACAGTAATTAACTTGAGTTTAATGATGAATAAAACTAATTTAATTCTTTTTTATTTTTGTAGATCTTCTATTTAAAAATTTCAATTCATATGTAATTAAATTATAGGAAAAAAAACATCATATTTAAATCTTTTTGAATTAATTAGAAAATCTCGTTCAGATATTTTGAATATTCTATATATTAGTTTAAAAAAAAAATAATAAATTTACTATTTAATTTATTTATCCATGCACCAAGACGAAAAAATAATGTTACAGCACTTGAAAATGTACTATTAAGTAATGTATTTACTTTTAATTCAAATTGTTTAAATTCATCTATATTGTATATATGAAAAATTTGTCCAGAAAATTGATGACAAATACGATTTGCTTGATTATATGATAGACCACTATTAGATGGTACAGCTAATGAAAGACAACGATTAGTTTTCCATTGAATCCAACCCGACAGACAAGAAAGACAATCATTTTGTTCATCATTCCAAAATGATAATAATTTCGGACATACACATTTATTTGTATTTGAACATATCAATGGATATGTACAAGAGAAATTATTAGAACATGATTCATTATATGATGATAAAACTATATATATATATATTTGATAAGAAGATTTAATTGATTAGAATTAATTTATTATATAAAATATTACCTGAAGAAGACTTAGATGATGTGAATAATATGAACTGAACATAGATGAACCCAATCAGAAAGTGAAACATAGAATATGAAAGAATTTACAGTAAAATAGCGCGGTAATAATATTCTTTCTTTATATAAATCTATTTGACTAAATTATAATTATAAGTAATATTATTCTACTTACAAATGTTGTACTTCTTTTTCAATAAAATATCCAAATCATACTCTAATATTTTTTTTTCTTTGAGCTATTTCACTTGTAAAAAGATTGCATGGTTTCCTGTCAAATGCAAAGACTAGATCATCATGTTTCAGTGTAAGAATAAATTTCTCTTAAAATCTGTCATTGATTTTTGAATCTATGAAGAATAGCAAATCGAATTACTTTTTAAAAATCAATTACTACAGTTTTAGATAATATATTTTGCAATTTTATTATATAATAAAATGAAGAAAAAAAAAATTAATATGTAGCATCACTAGCATTCGAAGCAACACTAGTTCTATTATGTCGTCGATGAAATCGTGGTGCTGTTGTTGAACTATTGTCATTTTTCAAAAGAAGAAAACCACCACAAAAACAACAACAGAGTATTATTATTAAAATAAGAACAACAGCGACAGCAACTAATTCATGAAAATAATTTTTATACTTTGTTGTTTTTTTTTCTCTCCTAGAAAAATTAAACTTACTACCAACGTAGAGTATTGTATTATTTGATTTTGAAGTTTCTATATAATAATAATAATAAAATACACAGAATAAAATAATATAATCATACGTACGTGGCAATGGTTGTCCTGCTTCTATGTTTGGTGGATTTGTATGATCTCAAAATATGAAAATTTTTTTTTAAAAAAGAAATAGTGTCCAAGATATATATTTACAGATAATTATTGGTTCTGGTGGTGGTGGTGGTGGTGGAGGTGGTTGTGGCTTTGCTAAAATCAAATTAATAAGAAAAAAATTATTTTATAGATTTATTAAACTTCATATCTTTAATATAACGACTTACAACCGAATAAATTTCCAATAAGACCACCAATTAAACCAAAAAATCTATTATTATTATTATTAACATTATTTTCAGTAGTTGATAATTCTGTAAAATACTAATGATTATGAGAAATATATTAATCAAATTTTTGATAATATTCACGATGAATATCTTACTCTGACAAATATATGATAATTTTTCATTACATTTTACATGACTTAAACAAAATGATGGATTCATTTTATTATTTAAATAGTTTTTTGTTATACTAATACAATCATTCCATAAAAATGTATTATTTTTATATTCTATATCACACCATTCATATGAATTTAACCAATCTTTATCTATAATTTATCAATTATTTAAATCTAAAATTCATATTTCTAACTCACTATCAGTAAAATTAATCCAAATACCATTATTTAAAAATTCATTGAGTTCATTAACCCTTTCAATCCCGACATTTTCTCTCATTTTATATAAACCTGAAGAAAATCTAGATTTTTCTCTCTCTTGCGTTTTGATCTATATAATCAGCTGTACACGAATTCTAACTACACTAGTTCAGTGCGAAAAAAAATATTTTCACATCGAAGAATACATGTGTTTCTTTGAACACACATATGATATGTATCATGTAGAAAGACGACAGAACGCAAAATTTCTATATTATGATATGCATGTCATCTACGAGATGTCATGCGGGATTGAAAGGGTTAACATATTCACTCTGTAATAAATCGTTTATTTTATATTGAAATTCTATATAATCTTGATAATAATTAATTTGTAATAATTCTCCTGAATATGTTAAACAAGTATTTTTTGCTTTCTCATATGTAACACCACCATCTGGTGGTTGTATAAATAAAAGACATGTTTGATTTTGCCATTCAATCCATCCATATTGACAATATAGACAAGTATTTTGTTCTACATTCCAAAATTTTGTTGGACATATACATTTACTTGAATTAGAACAAATTAAAGGATATTGACAAGATAAATCATTTGAACAGAAATCACCAAATGATACTAAAATTTTATAATAAGAAATAGAAATTTTTCGATTTCAACTAACCTGATGATACGAAGATAATAAAGTTAAGAACATAAGCGAACTCAAAATGAGAACGCAACATAGAATAGAATAATTTAATACAAAGTCAGAATATTAATTCATAGAAATGCGCTAAAAAAGAAATTTTCATATTTTTCGTTATATATATATATTCGTTTTAAAATACATTATAATCAACGAAAGAACGAACGAACAAACAAAAATGATCCAGAATTTTCTATCTATATTTATCCATGTGTCTATCGTTGATGTTTATTTTTATTTCTTTTCAAAACTAAAATGTTATCGTTATCAAATAGTCAAAATGAACCATCAGCACTTTTATCCAATGCTCGTTCAACTATTGCTACATTAATTCAACGACCAACTACAATAACAACATCAAATGCATTTGATGAATTTTCTATATTAGATAATTTAATTGATGTTAGTAAAGATGTTGATCGTTTTGAAGGTGGTGAAAATCGTAAATTTTTAAATATAGCACAATTAATAACAGCATCAACATGTATTTATTCTCGTCGTGTTGATGCACTTTATAAATTAATAAATACATTTCAAACATCATCATCATCATCAGATAATAAACAAGATGAAAATCAATTATCAGAATCAATTATTATTATTAATAAACAAGAAGAACATGAAATACAAAAAATTATTAAAGAAAAAAAGAAAAAATCTAAACAAATTCAACGTTCATTTATATGTAATGATCCAACTAAAATTAATTTAAATTTATCAAAAAATTTTTTTCTTGATCGAACATCTTTATTTGATCTTAAAATTTTTCAACAAAATGTACCAATAGGTAATAAACAATTTTGGTTAAATGATACACAACCGATGATATTTAATCTTCTTTTTCATAATCAATCAATTGAAATAAATGAAAATAATCAACAACAAGAATCTGAACAATTAATTAATGTACTTAATAAATTATCACCGATTAAACATAGAACAATATTAAATGATAATGATATTCCATTACCTACATATGATGATAATGATGATCAAGAATTACCATGGAATAATAAAAATATAATTGAAAAGAAAAAATCAAATAAAAATCGAAGAAAAAAATAAAAAAATGATATTGATCTTAATATATTTCGTCATGGTCTTACAGATGAACAACAAGAACATTTTCGTTTTCATAAAATGAAACCATTAACAAATAAAATTAAAAATGAACAAACACAATTTTTTAATAAAAAATTTAATCGAAATCATTTTGATAAATTAATTAAAGGTTAGTTGAATATAAAATTTATCTAAAATGAAAATAAATATTTCCTATAGAATAGTAACAGAAGTAAAACCTCTACAAAATCTTTGTTTATTTGTTAGATTGTCCATTATCAATGGTATCTATTTTTATTTATCCAACAATTCATATTCATCATTTAACAATTCGAGAACAATATTCAATAAAAATTGATCAATCATTTTCTCGAACAATACCATCACCTATGTCTGATGTACTTAATGAAAATGCATTAATTTTATCATCACCACCAATTTCACCTTCATTTATTCATGAATTTAATGAAAATATACAAGAAGATGTTGATAGTCGTCTTCAAACTGATATGGAACAAATACTTGATGCAGCTACTTATCATTCAACTGAAGAACAAGAACATAATAAAATATTTCTTGAACTTCGTTCATTAATAATGTCATATATGAATAAACATGATTCAATTCAAACGATAAATCTTGATGATTTACTCGAAACACTTGATGATAATTATTCATTACCACTTGTTTTTAGTCAATTATTACATTTATGTGCTGCAACACAACGTTATTATCTTCATTCAACTTCTAATGATAATTTATTTATAAAAAAAATTATATAGACTTTTGTTTTTCTTTTGTATAGATTTTTGAACTAATTTTATTTATTTATTCGTTGTAAAGAGAAAAAAAGAAAGTTGAATTTTTATTCATTATTTTCTTATAGATAATAGCTTTTATAGTCAATGGAATGTTTCTACAGTACATATCAATCTTTCTACGAAATGAATTAAATATTAAGATTGAAAAGATCTTGTTTTGATATTCGAGATTTTTACTGATATTTATATTTTTGATGAGAACGAGCAATTGACATCAGTTTCATTTCGTAATTTAGGACATTACTAAACTTAATTCTTTTTCAATATCGTTCTCTACAGAAGGGACGCAACTGTGAATAAGAACAGAAAAGAATCTTTTATTTAAAATTATAAAGTCAACAAGAAATACAAATAATCATAATAATGAAATTATCTGAATATTTTCTTTTGTGATAAAAATAAATCATGTGTGTTTATCTTCTATTCATCAACCATACTTCCAATTGAACTAGCAAAACTTGGTCTACCTTGAGATACACCTCCATTTCCACGATTAGGATTACGTATATTTGTTTTTTTATTTTTTATAACTATATATCCAGCAATAGCTCCAACAATAAGAATTACTCCTACAACAGCAATTATAATTATATTGGTCATTGTAAGAAAACCTGTTTCTTCTTTAAGCTGAAAGTAGACATAGAACTATATTTTTATAGGAAAAAGAATCTTGATTTATAAATACAGCTGCTGCTTGTAAACCAAGATGTTCTGGATTAAAATCAGGATCTTCTGGTGGAGGAGGTGGTGGTTCTTCAAAATCGACGGTATCACTCTCTGTTCCAGATGAAGTACCTGGATTTGTTCCGGATAAAATACCACCATTATTAGTACCTACATAGAAAGAAGCCATATACAAATTTTTTTATCTCGATTCTTAAGTCTGTTCAAAATCTTTTTTATTTGTCTGTTTTGTTTTTCACATACCATGATGTGTAGAAGTAGCTAATTTCATACTAGCAGCATTCATTTCGCATATAAATGGATATTTTTGATTACAGTAATCATCTGATAAGCAGAGAAAACTTGTATCTTTAGAACCGAAATTGTATGTAATACATTCTTCACGTTCAGTACCATTCGGACCTTTAAAAGAAAGAGAATGAGTCTATGTTAAACATTCTTGATTCTACAAAAAACAAAAACCCAGAATTTTTTTGTCTCTTATTATGACCACCATCAATCTGAACGAACGATGCATAGAGAAGAAACTGTTCAGGTTTCTTGTAATCTCAATAGACTCTATCACAAATACAAGCTACATTTTATTGTTTTACCTTCTCTAGTTCCTGATGTTGGTTCTTTTTGTAATAAGTAACCTGCGTGATATGTTGGATCACACCATACTGAACTAGTCAAGTCTATTTTCATACCATCAGGATCTGTCCATTGAATAGTATGTGCTATAAATGAATTTTTCTTAATTTTCATTTATTCATTAAAACATACAAAAAAAAAGAAAAGAAAACGTTCAATAACTTACGTTTTAATGAAGTTATTTTAGCACCAGCCCATGCAAGATATGGTTGATTTGGTTTTGGTTTGAGTATCATAGACCATATGTGTATAAAAAGAGGTGTAGATATCTAATTAAATATAACAGGTCTAATAAATTGTTCATCATGATTATCACGGCATGTAAATAAATCAGCATATTGAGCACGACAATGAATTCTAGATGCTTCCCATGTTTTTAATTCATTAAAATATTTATAACATCTATCTTCTATTCATACTTACAAAAAAATGTATATTATAAATTTTATTTATGATATATGTTTACTTATTACAGTATATTCTCTTGCACATATAGCACAAGTTGTTCCTATAGGACATATTTTAAAACGAATTTTTATTTTTGATTAATTAAACCTGTCCAAAAACGTCTTTCATCTGGATTACAAAGACAAAGTTTACTTGAACATTTTTGATGTCGATCACAATCACTATCACTATTACAAAATGCACCATATCTAGTTGCTAATTTGAATATTAATAAATGATGAAATGAATTTGATTATAGTTTTTGATTAATTTACCTCTTATAACTGGAAATTGAAAGATGAGTAAAGAAAAAATAAGTTTTTCTATAAATATATTCATATCCATATAATATAACGTAGACAAACTGAATAGTTTTAATACACAGGTATTTATTGACGAATATGAAAGATAAAAATGAATGAGACGCGCCAAATATATATAATATTCGAGTGTAAACTTTTGTTTTGATAGTTTTCAGCATAGTGAGGAAAATATTACATAAATAAGATACTCTTTGGTTCTTTGATATATACAGGATATCCCAAAATTCTCTAGGTGACATGACATAAATAAATCTGTAATGGAATGACTCACTCGTATTCAAATCAAAATTTATCGCAATGACTTATCATTTCAATACTTCTTTTTAGTACTTTGCAGGAATCATCTATTTCAAAATGATTTGGTCCCATATATGATTAAAGAAAAATATATTGTCATATCTGCTCTTTAAAGTGTTGCAAACCACGAATCATTAGCTACTTGCACGAAGTAGCTCGAAAATCTTATCTTAATATAATATACGATTTGTTTTAATACTTCTCTCTAATTACTTATAATAATGAAAACTAGTTAAATGACAATATTGATTAACATAAAATGCTCTTCAGTTTTCTTGAATAGTTTTATTTTAATTTTGAATAATCTGTTTAGTTTCATTTTTGAAAGAGACTAATGTGGAAAATGCAATTTTATTAAAATATTGTTTTTGCTTATTTGTATAAAATTTCTTGTTAAACGAACTTTGCATGTCCATGACAAAAAGTTTTTCTAAATAAACATATTTGTATAAAGTCAAAATTGACGTACTTTGTCTTTAGAAATCTCGACAGTTTTCTTGTAACTCTACTTTAAGTTTGATAAAATCTTATTCGTAGTATTATTCTTAGTGAGCCTAGATTTTTATATTCAAGGACAAAACATTGTTTTTTCAATATTATGAATTTATATCTTTGCTAATCACTGTTTTCATTGTCATTCCACGAGTACATTCATGTAAGAAAATGTTTCAGAGACGCTTATTTTTATTTGAAAATTCTAAGTATGAATGCTTCTCATGGTTAAATTTTTAAGTGTTTTAATTTCACCAACAGTCATTATTTTCATTCTGTATGACAATAATGAAATACTGTTACAGATCAAACAAAAAACAAATTTTGTTTCACACAAACATTTACATTCTTAACCAAAATGATTATTGACAAAGACTTCTATATTAATTCTTAATTTATAGAATTTTGCTATTATTTTTCAATAATGTCTACACTCATGTGAATAACATTGTCTACCATTGTCGATCATAACGCAAAACAATCTCTGATCAAATATTTCGTTGATAAAAAGTTATTAGATCGTGCATCAATTTACATGACTATTTATTTAACAATAAAAACAAACAATTGCGCAGAGTAAAATAAATTAGAATCGAAATGAAATGAAGATGCAGCTAGAATAAAAATTTTAAGTAATAAAATAAACATTTAAATAAAAAATGATAATGAAAAGAGCAAAAAGAGAAAAACGTATATGTACGTCGTAGTTACTAATACGAATAGATAGTTTTCTTTGATTATTTAATTGAAAGTTATAGGCTGGTCGCTTTTCAGACAGATCCAGAAGCGTAGAACCTTTTCACATGATCAAAGATTTTTTGCTGTTAGCGAGCACCTCCATTGGAAGATTTCTGGCTACATCTCTGGACAAGCCTCTAAACCAAATTTAAGTTTAATATTTCGGTCTAGTTTGATTCATTCATATTTTATCTGGTTTGATTAGTAGTTTAGATCAGATCTAACTTGTTGAGCTGGCTATTGTATTTTTGAAATTAGATGTTCCCCCATCGCAATATTATTCAAAACTACTTTGAGATGTTCATCTCAATATAACGGCCAATATCTTTGAACCAAATGTCAATTTCATATCATAGAACTTATATTGATTGATACAAGAAATTAAGATATGAAAAATATTGTATGCTTGTACTCCTTCGGAAATTGATTATCAAGTATAGAAATTTTCTTGCTTGTGATATCTATCACATATTCTTATGAGTCTTGCAGGGTAAAAGTTTTTCGAAGTCCATTCGCTACCCCATAGAGTAGGCTAGGGTACCACTCGTACACGCTTGTTCTTTATATTGTTAAGAGTTTTTGGCAAAGAACTTCGAAGACACTCCTGAAAAAATTTTGATTTAAAAGAAGAACATGCTTATATTAGAGTGAGATAAAATTTAAATAAGAATCAACATTGAACTCATGGGACAAACAGTTGTTGAATTAATCAAAATTTAGTATTTTGTAAAAAAATTATCGAAATTTTCGGCTACTTCAGTTTATAAGTGAACGCATCATCAACACAAGTGGCACAATCTTGTAAGAGGGAAGAAAATAATTGAAAACCATAGCATTCCTATGATGGTACAGTGTGTCTTCACTCTTTTCATTTTCGTTTTGTTATTTCCCTGCTAAGATTCGAATCAACTAGCTTATATTTATTTTAGGCACTAATCATTTATGATAATTAAGAGAGAGATAGATAATATAAAGAAAACCATGTATATATATGATATGTGTTAGTTACATAGTTGCATTTCAAGTTGAACTATATCATAATATTATATTACACGACATATATATGTATTATATTGGATTATTTGATCTTTCTCTCTATTACAAACTGTCAAGATAATAATTATTGACATTATTAATATTGATTGTCCGGTATTGAGATTACTCATCCAACCTGAATCTTCGTAGACTTCCTCCCCACTAATCCCTTAGAAAATACATTGTTTCCAAGAATAATCGAAGCTTGGTTTTGTATCAAAGAAAAATGTATTGAAGTTTACTCTGTCAAAATATATATGACTTTTCAGAAAATGGCCAAATTATAAATGAACTTCCACTTCAGAAAGTTATTTCGATCAGTCTATTACGGTGTACTTCAGGAAAATTGTCCGGTTTATTAATTTTCTTTTTTGTTTTAGAAAGATTGTCTTTTTATTTGAGTCCATATTGAATGATTAAACATTTACAGATTTTAAGCATCAACTAATGTATTAGCTTACGTTATTTGTTGCGTTTTCTAAAAAAGTCTATTTAAGTTCTTGATAGATATGCACTTTTTTCTATATATATCAATGAAAACATCTATGTATGAACATATTTACTCTTTTTCTCAGAACATAATTTTCTATCAGAAGGATACAAATAACTTCCATGCTGCAAAGTATTCAATTTCGTCCAGAAAATCGAGTTTTGATGCTCTTTTCGTCTTCGATACATAATCATTGATCATACATATGACGTTGAACTGAAAATTTAAGTATATATCAGAGATATCTAGTCATACACAGAAAAAAGTTTTCAGACTTAAGTATTTTTATCTGTCCGGATTTTTTCAATTTTAATATACATCGATATCAACTTTGTAACTTTTTCTGAATCTTTTTGTATCTCCAACAGTATTCGACTACTTTAAGACATAGAATGAAATATTTTCTAGTATTTGAAAGAAGAGACTTGAACCTAATAATTCTTGTGGTTTTTTGTTTTTCAAAATACTTATTCGAAAGAATTCCATTATTTATTATTTTTCTCAAAATTTCGCTATTTTCATAGAATTTTACAATTCAACCAGCATGGTTAGAATATTTCAAAGAATAAGAGAATTTCTTTTGAGTTAAATCAAATTATTTGTATACATATTCGTAATATGAAGACTAATAATGTTTTAATACTCGTTCGGATAACTCATACCAGCACAAAATACTACCGTCTACTTGTTATTTTTCTTCTTATTTTACATCCAAAAGCTTTAATCTTCTCAATTTAAGTGTTTTCAATATTAATACATTCACATTGAAAAGACTACGTGTTACTTTGACCTATACTTAAGTTTATCATAACCATCTGATAAAATCACCAGAATTTTCTTTAGTTATCTGTCTGAATAAAGACAATTTCCTCTAATATTTAAAAGCTTGATTTCTGAATCTTATGTGACAATGATATTATTATCCATCTTATTGTCTTTGATCAAAGTCAAGTGACTCTTTCTTGTAGAGCCAGTGCATGTGTGGACATGAAGTTTATAAAGAGCTACTATGCAACTTTCCTCATTTTATTGTTCTTGTAAGTACTAAAGAAGTTTATTATCATTTCTCTTTTATGTTCTATCGACAAGAAGGCGTCTCCAACTATTCTTCGAATCTAATGGTGCTTGTGAGCTCAGTGCTTTTATTGACAAAATTTCTCTTAGAATTATCATAAAAACGCAATTATTATTGTCTAGGATCCCATACTAAAATAAACAGAAAAATTCCCATTAGTTTTTCGAACAACTGACTTTTTTTGGATTCAAAAGTAACGTTGACTACAATCTACACTTATTAGAACATCTGAACGAATTGTATCATCGATAGTCTATATGCATATAATGATCATAGAAGCATTCCATCTATACACAATAGGATAGTATGTCAATCGATGTTATTACTATCAACTGTGAGCCAGTCCACATAGACCATGACCGATTGCTATAGAACTAGCTCAATTGATATCCTCCTCTGATTTGGTTCATTTTAACATATGTGACAGAGACAAGAGTTTGATGAATTTTAGCAAAATTCGATTTAAAAAATATTGAACTCTTGATTTTTTATCGAATTTTTATGAAGAGCCCTACAAAATCCAACTATCATTCGCAAAGGACTTTAAGCACACTATATCTCAACAATGAGTGAATCAATTGAACTGAATTTTTCTGTGGATTGAGAGAGCAATAGTATTTGCATACAGAAAATATTTCAGATTCAACGATTGAATTCTCGGTATTCTATGGAGTTTCTTATTTAAGGAAAAAGTCACTAATTCTGCCAACTTTGGTACTTTATATCTTCTGACTGGAGAGTGACAGAGAGCTGGAATTTTTTTAAAAACATATATTGATGAAATACTATTATTTTGAAAATTTCAGCTCTCTAGAGCAACCTATTCGGGGTGTGGGTGTCGGTGTCCGTAATCGCTATCTTAACAACACCCACACCCACACATCACACCCACAGCCAACTAAGATTTAATAATATATTTATAGAATAAAATTATCATTATTTTATTTTATTCTAAATAAATTCTCTCTTTTCATAAAATAATTCCATTGAATAATTTTTTAATTTTCATATTACAATCTTATATATAAATTATTTTTTTAAATATTGTTCATATTTATTTATTTTCAAATCTATATTTTATCATAAAAGAAAAATATAAAATTATGTAGTTATAGTTTGTTTTTATTATCAAGTTTTTGTTGTTTATATATGAACTCTTTGTTTTTTTTTATTTTATAATGAAATTTTTCATAGTATTAATTTATACTTTACTACTTTAATGATTAATAATGGTTTATATTGATATGTTCTTTAGTTAGTAACTCATTTGAGAAAAATCTAAACTGGTTTTCTTTTGAAATCTATTGATATTTCAAATCTGATAATAATCATTTTTTTTCGAATGAAAATAAATCGGTTTGACTAAGATTTAAGTTTGATTTCCAATTCTAATGAAACTATTCTAGAAATTATTTTCATAATTTTTATTCATTTTCAAAAATTCTAATTATTGACTAAATTCGATAAAAGATGTTTTCCATATTTGTTTTTATGAAATATTTTTGAAAATTATTTAAAATATCCTAAGATTATTAGTTTGTTGGTCAAATAAAGAAATTGAGTTTCTTTTTCTAACTTACCAATATTCTAAAATAATATTAAAAATAAATAGAAAATAATTTTTAAAAATATTAACATAGAATTGATTTGTCTACAATAGAATATATTTTATTTATGATTATATTTAATAGAAAAAAAAAGAAAACAAAAAAGGGAAATTCAATATTTGATGTATTAGAAATTTCATTTTTTTATGTATTTGAATATCTAGTTTATCGAATAGTTGATTGTGTTGCAGAAGTTTGATTAGGTTGTTTAAGATTTCGATCGTCTTTTAACATTTGAAGTTGCTCTATCAAAAATTTTCTTTATATCGATATTGATAACAACTTCATTTCCCCTATATGCTTTAAAAGATGGTGTTGTTTTCTTTAGTAGATTGAACATTAGTCCATTTACTATGGTGATAATTTTTCGAAATTTTTTCTAAATGATTTCTATTTAGAATAAATGATAATCGATGAAAGTCGTCTACAATCTTTGATTTAACTATGAAAATGTTTATAAAAGCTTACAAAGGAAATATTCCCAAGTGAAGGAGATTTAAAATTATTTTGAATTAAATTAGCCTTCAATATAAGTTTCAGACTTGCTTATCATTCTTTCATGTATTCGAAGCACATAATGCATGAATTTATTGAAAAAAAATATTCATCTTATGTTTCTTTACTTTTATTTTATAAAAATAAAAAGACAAATAACAAAAAAATGAGAACCTGCTACGTTCCTAGAACTTTTCTGACACGATGTTGCTCTTTTCCTGGTCCTTCAAGTATATCATTTGTTGATTCATCTTCATGAATTGTAATTGAATTTCCAAGTCTTTTATTTTCACTTCTAAATTTTGTATTATTGCATCGTCTTGTTTTCGAACCAAGTTTATTTCCGCCTCCATGGCCACCTTCATAGCTTCTGTTGCCGCTTTTGCTGCTTCTGTTGCCGCTTTTGCTGCATCCGATTGCACTCGTACGAGCTTCTTCAATTCTATCATTTGCTGTTGTATATCAGATGATTGACCGGCAATAGGAAGATCTGCTGAAGGCACCTAAAACAAAAAAATTAATAAGTTATTTAAAAAACATAAGAGAGTGGAAAATTAGACAATATTTATTCAGCATTTATGCTTTTTTCATCGATCCGACTTAATTCATACCAAGATTATATTCTTGTCAATTTCTTTGCACATGACTCTCCCTGTTGTAACGTTTTAAAAAATGGGCAAACTTAGTGAAAAGGTCACGAAGAAACGAGAGAAATGTAATGAGAGGAAAAACAAAGAATACAAGAGAATGATCTTCAATGAAAAATTTTTATTCTTTTTTTCTCTCATTCATCGTTTTCATTGGTACAATGAGTCGAAACATAGGTCACCTAGCGTACACACATCGAAAAAAAAAGAACGGACATATCTTAGGGTCGTACGTCGGAAGTGAATCAATGAATATTTCTTTCTTCCTATATGGATGAAACAAGAAGTAATAATGAAAATAGATCTAAACTTTAGAATTTTGTTTTGTTTGTTTTTAAATGAATCTTTTAAATGGCTGTTTCTCTTTTATTTTTTAAAACTATAGTCATTTTCATTGGATGTTTTCAAAAAACTAATAATAATAAACAAAGAAAACATAAAAAGTGTTTTTCATGTTAAAAAGTACTTTAAAAAACAGCCTGTAATTTTTTTTTACATTAGAATTATTTCAAATACATGAAATTATTTCTTATATTAACTGAATTTTGAAAAATATGGATGATATTTTCTTATTAAAACATCAATGATAAAGTAGTTAAGTAAAATACTCTAAGTTTCAACTTAAAAAAAACTAATTTGAAGTCAATTTTTTTCCCAATTTCGTTGTTAAAAACAAGTGTTTCACTCGTTGCAAAAAAATTCTGAAGATGTTTTTTACAAGAGAATCGCTTGTTTAGCGTGCAAGATGCTGTCTACTAAAAGATGTAATTCTTTTTACGAAAATTTTTTTTTTTGTGAAAACTCTAGTTTTATTTTAACTGTAAACAAAAGTGTCGCCTTGAATCGTGGATAGATCTTTACAAGTATCTGATGTCATTGAATGAGTACTAATGCCGATGCCCTCATTAGCATTGACCGATTAAAGCATAGAAATATCACTATATCGTTTGTCATCAAAAACGGTTTCTGTTTTTATAATATACTCTATTTCAGATCTTTATTAAAAACATTACTTGCAGTCCCTTCTATCCTCGATAAGAAAAAGTTATTTCTTTGTCAACTTACCAAATATGTATCATCATCCATATTTCGGAGCTCCATCACATTACGAGTAGAAGGATCAGGCTCAACTATATCTCCTCCCTATAATAAAAAGCAGAAGATTAAATAAAAATTGAATTTTATGAGCATGAACGTACATGGATGGTGGTGGAGACAGCACCAGTGGAATTGTGAGAGACGAAAGTCTCTTGCATGGATGATGATGAAGAGTTGATTTCTTCATAAACATGAGTGGATGATGATGCATTCGACATCTGCAAAAAACCAACATATATAAATATAGACATGGATGATTTAATTAACTAAATTCCATAACAAGCAAAAAAATGCTTTATTTTTGGAAAATCAATTCAATAGTGAATGAATTCGGAAAGATTTTCTTTATATGGATTATATCATGGATATTAGTTAGAGCGTATCGTAATTCGAATAATCGAATATGTGCTTTTCCTACCTCCGATATGATATCTATATCTAGATAGATGTCATCAATACCTGATGATAACAATGTTTTAAATTCATAGAAAGTTAGGCCAAGACATCATTCAAAAATAATCGTGAAAGTGCCGATATTAATATACATGGTAACAGGAGCAGCGTATTTTCTTTCTCAAAATGAAAGCTTAGTAATAATTAAGTAAATCAGAATCAAAATCGGAAAGATATGAATTTAGTTTAAAAAATTCAAATTATCGTACTAGAATTTGATGCTGCATGTGTTATAAAGTAATTTCAAGTGTAATTTAACCGATAATGAGCATCTATGTGTTCTTATTGACCGGTACTTGTTTGTATGCAATGAAGATGTTGCTGATGACTTGATTCTTGATATTGAATTTACTTTGTAATATAAAAATTCAAAGTCAAAAATTTTATTTTAATCTTTCATGTCAGCTGTATTTATTTTTGTTATTGCTGATGTTGAATATGTTGTTGACGACGAATTTAATTAATTAAACCTTTCGGTCTATCAAGACCATTATCAATAACAACAGAGCTAAATGAATTAATTTGAATTTCTACACTAAATTTATCTTTGTCATTTGTAATTTAGAAAAAATAAATAAAAAAATAAGAACAGAAAATTAAAGTAGATTTCTATTAAGTTTCAATCTTAAATCTAATTGATTCAACTATTATTAATTTTTCATTCTTATGATAAAATTCCTTTTGTTACAAATTACGGTATTTCTGCTCATTTGTTAACAAATAATCAAGAACTTTGTCACTATGTAAATGCAAAAATGGGTCTTTATTTTGTCAATATGGTCTAGACATCGACTTGAGAAAAGTTGCTCACCGTCCTTTTGACAAGTAACTAATATTAGCACCATATTAGAGTATTTACTGCCCGATTCATCTGTAGACCCGTGCTGATTGCTTGGTCGGTTGTGCTAAGTGTGGGATTTTATTATCCATTGAATGGTATAGTTTATATCACAGGTCATAGGGTAAAAAATTTCCCGTTGGATGTGCATCTGGATATGGATATAGCTCTCGATATAAATGCGGCTGAGCATGAAATATGTCCGAATGAAGACACCATCGTACTCTGCAGTAAAAATAGGTTCAAAATGTGTCGAAAGCCACGTAGTCGTGACGAATATATTTGACTTACAACATCAAAACTAGGTGTTTTATTGGTGTTAATAATAGTCGTCATCCAGATGGTTTATCTTCCTTACGCAAACTTTTTTCATATGGATATGAGACAGTTGAGAATCTGGAACAAGAAAGTCCTGTGATCTTAGCAAGTCTTAAGATAAGATATGAGACTTTTTTGTGAGCTCGAGTTCTTGAATTTCTTGTACTCTGCGGATAGCATACTTGCTCGCGGGCTTGAATTCTTATCCAAATGTCTCTATTATAACAAAACTGTTTGTAGTCTTTTCCCGTGTAACGTTCAAATTTACCCGCTCTTTAATAAAAACTCATAGATACATATTCTTGCGTTAAGCATATGAGTTACTTGTAACTTATGGAAACATTCAAATGCTGGTCTTGAGTAAGAAAGTTCTGCCCTATGGGCAAGTCGGGATGTCTGTCCAGGTCAAGAGCATAAAAAAGAAAGTTCGACTAAGGAAGCGGGTAAAAATCAGATTTCATTGTTTTTCATTTTAAAAATCGAAGTCGAAAAATAAAGTTTTTCTATAAAGTCAATTTAATTAAAACTTATTTCGATAATCGATAAGATCGATATTTAAAATTAATTCATTGTGCAAATCTATGCAAATTTGTTATCGATATCATTGAAACCATTGCAAAACAATCATTTAAAGTTAAAAATAAACATGAAGAACCTATTTTCATGGGTGAACATCATCCATATAAAGGTGATAATAGACAATATTATCTTCAAGTTGAAAAAGATATTTCACCATGGATGAAAACATCTGAAATTCATTATCCGAAACGGCCAATATTAGATTATAATCAATCATTGGTTGTTCTATTAATACAAAATGGGGATGTTTAATGTAAATTATGATCGAGATTTTAATATACATCTTTATTCACATTTAGCATTTAAATCAAAATGATATCTTGCTACATATTCTTTTAATATGAAAAAAAATATGAAAAAAAAATTGATAATAAACGAAAGTTCAAAGGTTGTCTCAAATATTGATAATTTGATAAAAATTCATGATATTGTCTCGAGTGTCATGACTCGAAAAAAAGTCCTTTTTTTTAAAGTCATAATCTATTTTTAATTCTACTTCCTATCTTTAAGATCGATTAAAATTTCAATAAAAATCAAATAGATTTTAATTCATAAATATTGTCTTCGCTCTTGTTAAGGACAAAATAGACGTGACTTCATAGATAAATATACATCTATACAAAAAATATAATAGTCATGTTCAATATTTTTGAAAAAAAACATTATCAAAACTATAATTGTCTTAATAAATAATTACGATTAGAAGAACCCTTAGATATCAGAGGAAATAACACACAAAGGCATTGTTTCGATGTTGCAAATTCATAATTTATTTATTTTTTCTTAAATTAATATTATAATTTTTTTAACATTTTATTTTATTTTTTAAAACTGGAAGATATAAAATGAATTTTAAAAAAAATGAATCATTTAATCAAAAATTTTCAAAAAATTAATCGGAGAAAAAAATACTTTAAGTTAATAATAAAATTTTTCATCAATTATTAATGATTTCAATCGAATACCATTAGAACTAATTTGAATAGAAACTAAATATCATTCTTATCAATATAATTTATTTAAGTTTTTTATCAATTCGTTTTCTTCTATTGATAATTAAATTCAATCGATCTATTCCGAATAAAAATGATTAGTTCCAGTTTATTAGTTCCTTGTTTGCTGTATTAGAGTTCATTTGTTATTAGTTACGTTTAGTATTTCATTTGTTTTTATTAAATCATTTTGAATTGATTCATTAAGATAAATGACAAATCTACATGAGTGATCATTGTTCTTTTTATCACCAAAAAGTACTCTTGATCACCATGCCCTAGTCGAACATCTTGTAAGCAAGATCTTGGCCAAGATCTTGGGTACAGATTAGTGAACAGATCTTGAAAATTTAGGTGCAAGATAATACGATTATCTTGTACCAAGATCTGACTACAGATCTTGGGGACAAATGTGTAAGATCTTAGCTACGAATCAATAAAATCTTAAATACACACTAAGATAAAATTTGTTGCAAATATCATGATTTGCGTCCCAATGTATGACGGTTTTTGAAAGCGTTCTTCAAATTTATCATGCATGGTATTTTTCTATTTTTTTCTGTAAAAGCATGTTATGATATTTTTGCAATTTATTTTTATTTCAATTATTTCTGTCCCAAATAGTTTCAGCGAGTCAGATGTCGAAATCAGACTAGTTTTGAATTGGTCCGACATCCATCAGACCCCTTCAGGGTAGTCCTCTCTCGATGATTGATCAAGAGAGGCATTTTCTCGAATAATTGATAATCGAGAGATTATTTAGAAAAAAAATTATTTTGAAAATTTATGTTTTGTATGTTCAAGTATGTTGTTTATATACAGCTGTGTGCGCATGAAAAAACGGTGAATGACTAGTCAGCATGTAAACAAACAAATGATGTCGCTATTTGTTTTACTCAAGATCTTGCTAAGATCTTAGATACAGATTTATCTGATACAACCAAGATGTGTGCACACAGATTATCTTTTCAAGATCTTGATTAGATCTTGCTTACCGGTCCCAACATTTCAAGATCTTACTTGCAAGATGTTCGACTAGGGATACATGTTTAAATACAAACGATTGCACAAAAAAGATACTACCTTTGATCATCAAATTTTACAAAAACTGTTGTTGCATAATCTTTTTCTTATTTATTCAGCGTGACTTCGATTTCGTTAGCTTTCTCTTATTTGTCATTTGAAAGAGTGGTTTCTATCGTCGAATCAGTAATCGGTACATGTATTTAGACAAAATTTAAGAATTTATTTTGAAATATGCCAACATTAAACTGTTCTCTATTGAGTATAGTTCATTCATTTAATCAGATTAAAGCTCTTATGAGGTCAAATGGTATATGTCGATATCGAACAAAGAGCCTAAAAAATTCGACAAAATATTTATTTAAATGTTTTGAATGTCGCAAATATCCTTTATGTAGTTAAGAAATTAAAGTAACAGTGCCAAATGATGAGTCCGATTCGATTAGAATAATGTCCAGCAGTACTCACAAGCATCAATATCATAATGAAACATCTCGTTTACGATCACCAATATGACATTCTATTTCTAATCCGTACATATTTGGTTAATCAGAATCATTTGTTGAGTTTTTGGTGTAACAACAATCTTGATGGTTAGTGATTCCATTCAGGGGCGGCGGAACGTGCTGAAATGAGGTGAGGCTCAAAAATTTATTTTTATATATTATCATGAGACAATACGAGCGAATTTTAGGTGATAATTCGCTTTAGACTATTTAAATTTTTACTGTTGGAAGATTAATGCGCTAACTTATTTCGTCCTCGACTAAGAGAATTTCTAAATCTCTATAGAAGGAGAAAAATTTCTAAAGAATTCTACACTAGAGCGGTAAACCAAAAAACATGTCTTTTTTCATTTGATGATTCACCATATTATGAAAAAATTCAGGTCGGTTTTCAGATTCGTCATAATTTCCCAGTAAACGATTCTTATTAGACAAATCTAATGAATTCACAAGAGTATTACTTTGAGCTATAAACGATTCTTCAAAAACTTGTTGAAAGATTAATTAAA